ACGCTCCACACTCCAACACACACACCCACCCACACACACACACACACACACACACACACACACACACACACACACACACACACACACACACACACTAACTATATTGTCACTGCTTTAGAGGAAAATATTCCACATTGAAAAGAGGAAAGAACTTGTTTACACATTGATGTTACATTTTCTGCTTTTTTTTCAAATCCTATAGGCTGCCATACATTCCTTTCATCTACACAGAATGAAAAGAGCACATTCATATATACAGTCAGTGGCTTTGTGATAACATTATAATACTGAAAATGGTCATGTTTTTAGTACAGCTGAAATCATTATAAGAGAAATCTTGGCTGAAAACTGGAACCGCAGATAACACACTGTACATCATTTACCTGCCTACCTCAACATTATTCCTCTTGTCATAGATCTATAAGACCCAAATAACCATTAGAGTGTCACAAATACACTCATTAAAATACTATGTACAGTGAGGGCCACTTTATCTAAGCCCCCTGGAGATACATGAAGCTTGACAAGAGTGCCCTTAACATTGCCCTACCACTGGGTTGTTTTTCTAAGTGGCCCATTGATGTACTCTTCAAAAGGAGCTGCTGAACCACTGCACTTTGGTGTTTTAACATTCAAGTAATGACAGGACTCAAGAGTATTACCACGGACACACACCACTCTGGTGGCCGTGCTTGCAAAGAAAAAAACCTTCACAAATGTAGGGAACTAAATGTTTGCTCCCAACTCAATCAAATAACCAGTAAGTCAGCATCTGTTTATGATGTATTTAAATCACAGTGTTTCCCCATGCATTTAACGGTGCTCAGATCAGGTTCTCAAGGATCTATGGGCCATGAACAACATAGAAACCAGGTGTCCTGAGAGCACAGCTGTATTTACAGAAGTAGAAGCTCTACATTTGATTTAGTCCCCTGGTTCTGTTTCCTTCTCTACTGAGTCTCAGGGTTAGGGTAATGTTTGAACACCTTGTAGATCCATTGTGTGTAGAAGGGCACATTGATGAAGATGCCAGGCTGGTTTGACCGAGCGCAGCCTCTGCCATGGACGCTCACTCCAACAATAACCCTGATCTCACCGTCCTGACACACAAGAGGGCCGCCGTAATCCCTCTGTAGAAGAAGAAATAGTTAACACATTTCCCTACATCGCTGGTTGAGAAATGGTTATCATCACAGTTTACATTTAAGACAGGGTTAAATGGAAGCACAATGCATTCTAAGCTCTCAGTGCCTTGCAGCACCACCAGTGTTAGTGAACACGGACAGCTAGCCTCTAAAGCTATAAACCACAGAACTAAGGCTTTGATCGCTGATGAAATTTAGTGCAACACACTCCAGCTGCTCTATTTACAACGGACTGAATACAAAGCCCAAGGATTCAAAGAACGTTTGAAATGTGGATCAAACTCAACTCTAAAAGCTTTGTGTTCAACCAAGTCACTAATACACTCATACATTCACACTGAGCACTGTTACTTTACCCAAAAAGTATCAAAGCTGCCTGGTAGTTCTTACCAACAAGGCTTAAAAATATTATACAAATATATACTGTCAGATTCTCTTTTTGATCACAGAAACAATTTGGCATCATGTTTCAATTGTTTAACACCTCACTGGGAAAAATAATGTGACAAATGACAGTTTACCTCACACACTCCCTCATTCCTCCTGCCTCCTGCACAGATCTTGGTGTTGGTGATGTGAAGGTTCCCTCTGTGCATCTCTCTGCACCTCACATTACTGACAATGGGCAGGTCAACAGCTTTCAGCACGTCATCATGGCCAGTGCCTGAAAGAGTTAAAAGTTTCACTTTATTGCCTCTGTTGTTTTGCAGCTTATGCAACAGACGTGCCAACATTTTATAGTAGACATTGTATATTTTGGCATGATGCAAATACGTATTATATAGTGGTGTATCATATTTAGCATGCTTCTTTTTTTCAAGAGCATTGGGGAAGTCTCAATGGTTTATACAGAAATCATGGCACATTTGAACTTTTATTACAAATATAAATCATCTCTGATCTTCCTATGAAGCCACCCTGAAAGCAGCCCTAACCCAGAGTTGAGAAAGAAAATGGCCTAAGCTATACTGGCAGTAACCAAATATTTAAGAGAGGACTGTGTTACAATGTACTTTTTCACCTCTGCAGAATATACTGAATATTCCAGGACTGCCGCAGGAGAAATGCAATCAAATGCAATGTATTGCAAACCTGAGTAAAAAAACAGCTGTAGCGAAAATCAGTACCTTTTGTTTCGCCCCATCCATACATTTTACATATTTTTCCTTCTGGTATGGAGCACCCAGCCACGGGTAGCTGAAGTGTATGCACATTGTCTGCAGGAAGGGCAGGCCTGGAAGTTTTTAAAATACAGAAAGAACAAGGCATGATCAACATCAAACACTAAAAGATATACGTATCAGTATATTTTTGGGAATTATTTTACGAGGTATACTTACTTGGACAGCCTTATGAGGGCTAAACTGGAGCCCTCAGGACCACATATCACATGAGCTATGCTCACTTCCTGTCTCCTGGACCAGTCTGGAGCACCATCTTGAAGATCTGAGACTCCCAGCCACACCCGATATTCACTGAGGTCTGGAACACTGAAGAAAGAGCTAAAACTCAATAAAATATTCCACTTTTATTGCTCTCTACAAACTCCAGTCTAAGCGGAACAGACACTAGCAAATGAAGACAGTTAGTTACTTGTGCTTGAATCAGTGGAAACACATAGGAGCAGAAAAGAAACTGCACTGACAGTTCAAGGTTTAGGCAAAAAGAAAGAAATGACTTAAACAGACAGTGAGTGCATTGAAGTTACCATGAGGAGAAGCAATGTCTGTCAGTGAGTACCCATTCCTCTCGTATTAATGAACCCCCACACCAGTGCTGCGACCTGAAAATAGCACATATCACAACTCAAAATCAAATAAAGCTGTGAAACACTGCACACAAACCAATACAATATATTTCCAGAGTAACATGACATACAGTATCAAACTTTAAAGGGGATTAGTGTGACCAACAGTGTGTACAGTTATGTAAGCAGTTGCAGTGTAAACACCATTTAATAGAGATGTGACTTGACGGACTCTTTCCTTTCATTGTTTGGAAAAAAGAAGATTGAAAAAATAAATTGTGGGCTTTCAATTAAAAATCTCCCTTTACAACAGGTAGTTGTCTTCTTCTATTCAAATGTATTCTCGATCTATGAACCTTCTGACTGAATAAACATGTGTGGCATCAATGCTACTACTGTATCTTATACTGCTGTAAAAAGTGCATCTGTAATAGCATATGAACCCTCCCCGCAAAGAAAAGAGAAAAATAATAAACATTTGTTTTGAATTCAAAAGTGGTCTAAGCAGCACGGCCTACTGTTCTTCTTCAGTGGTCGAGAACAATGTGAAGAATATTAAACGCAGCGGCGTACCCTCTCTGTATGCTGACCATCCAGCTGCCGTCTGATATGCCCACCGGACCTCCTCCCACGATCCTGGTTGTTTTATGGACAAAACACCCCACAGAGGATAGCTCACCTGGAAAGAAAGACACACAGACATATTTTGATATACCAAATGTCATATAAAATGCATCTAATTGATATCATAATTATGCATTTGCAGGCAGAGACATACTGTAGTTAATGACATAATATTTACACAGTTGCAATACAAAAGGTGCTTGAGCTGCTTAATGATCCGCTATAATCATCATTAGTATATATAAAACATAATCATTCATTCTTGTAAGGTCATCAATTAAGGTCATTATTGAATATGCGCATACGACACATGGGTGTCATTTGAGCTCCATATAAAGAGATTGAGGGTTTATTCTCTGTTCTTGAGTTATTATGTGAAAAAAATTAAGTCCAACACAAACACACACACACACGACTTATACAGACACATGGAAACAGATGCCAGCATGACAACATAATGTACTATAATAGCTGGACATAAAAAGGACTAAATGAGGACTTTCCTTGGAGGCTGTCATGTACAGATCAGCAGCTGAGCCACTCGACACAGACAGACACAAAGAAACACTCACCCAGTGGAATGGTGTTCTGCGAAGCGTCACCTGCAGGAAGAAGTGGAGACAAACGAGGGATCAGGGAATATTTCCAGATACAAGATAAGGAGAAACCTTAAAAGAGGTGCACATGTCATACTGGCCACTAGGGTTTGTCACGACTATTATTTTTTTATCAGAAAGGCTTTGATTGAATGTGACAATTCTAAAAGGACCATAAGACAGTTAGTATATGTTTGCATATACTGTCCTATAGATTATACATTCTAAAATGCAATTATCGTATTTTGTGAAAGTAAACATCAATGTTACACTTATTTGTTAACATTATCATTCACACACACACACACACACACACACACACACACACACACACACACACACACACACACACACACACAGTCCTGATGCCGCTTGCTCTTCGTTCATGTGGAAGAAGTTAGGGACCCTCCCATATCTTTCTGATTATGAGATGTGAATTGTCTCTGACACACACTGACCTGCAAGTGTAGACAGATCTACACACTGCAAATAAAGGGTGTGTGTGTGTGTGTGTGTGTGTGTGTGTGTGTGTGTGTGTGTGTGTGTGTGTGTGTAGTGTGTGTGTGTGTGTGTGTGTGTGTGTGTGTGTGTGTGTGTGTGTGTGTGTGTGTGTGTGTGTGTGTGTGTGTGTGTGTGTGTGTGTGTGTGTGTGTGTGTGTGTGTGTGTGTGTGTGTGTGTGTTTGGCACATACAACCAGATAGAGCGAAAACACATCCAAGCTACATGCGTCTTGGACCAAGACGAATGAAAAATGTTCAATTTCACAGTCTCAGATTGTTTACCAGTACCATAGTGTTTCCTTGTGTCATTGTGTGAAGCTTGCATGTACACTTGTGCACTTACATGGCTTTACATTGCAGTAGTCCCAGGGAATGGCAGAGTTGTTGGTGTAACACCAGGGGCCATGTTTGTCTTTATCAGGGTTCCTGCAGTAGTTTCCCTCCAGACCAGCCGTCAGCATGCCCCTCTCACCACTGGACACACAGAAAAAGATACAATAAATTATGTTTCATCAACACTCAGTAAGCCCAAAACATAATTATAAATACAAAAGGATTAGTTTTGCTCTCTTTGAGGATTTAATCCAGCGGTTGATTAAAGTAAAAAGGATTTGCTGCTGATTTATCACCATTAGTAAAAGCTGAACACATTTTGCCAGATATTATCTGGACAGTCAAACTAAACAGCTGTGTGGACTCTGTCCCTCTGGACACGATAGGGAGTTGATTTGCAAGGGATTACTCACTGGGACAGTATGCAGCCACTTATACTCACATATCTTATACTTGCTCATGCAGACTTATCCCACTTTTGGGTATTCTCATCATTGTTTAAAAAAACTAATATTTTCCCACTTTGAATTTCTTGAATGCTACATTTAAGAATGGCAAAGGAGAATGGAAACATATTTGAGTACCAAATCAACCCTGACCTTAGACCCCTGGGCAGGAGCCAAGCCATGGAGCTGATCGGCTTTTGAAGTGTTCCTGCAGAGGAGGGCTTTGGGGTCAAGGGTTAGAAGTGAAGTGTATATCCCCCAGCTAAATTATCACTTGGAGTCATTCCTGCTGAGTTAGGTCATCTTCAGGGAAACACTTCTCCAACCTCTCTAGCCATTAGGAGATGCTGCAGAGGCTAGTCACAGCACCCGCAGGAGCCGTTTTCTCCTCCGAGAAAAAGAGGCCTGACTTGATCCGCTAACAACAATAAGCCGTAACTAGAGGTCAATAATAGGGCGCTTCCTTGCTTTAACCACCGCATCTCAGGTTCGCACACATGGTTCTCGATAACACAGACCCATTTTGCTGCACGCTGATGATTTCATGCATAAACTTGTTTCACAAAGACTTCATTTTTCAATAATGTCTGCTCTTTAACCCATGGATATAGTAATTGTTCTGCTCGTAAAAACAGTGATTACTCCGATCCCATTTATCTTTAAATAAAACCTACACCATATCACTCTCTCTGAAGGGTTACATGTACAGTACTA